ATGCCAAACCACGCCAAGCAATGCCAAGCACTACCAAAACATGTCAATCAATGCTAGGCAGTGTCAGGCAATGACAAACAATGCCAATAATGCAATGCCACACATCTTAATGCAAAGCAAAGCGAAGCAACACAACGCCAAACACATCAAAGCAAAGCAGCACAACTCAATCCAAAGCACCGCAATCCAAAGCAATGCAAGGCAAGACGAAGCAATGCCAAGCAAAGTGGCACAATGCAACGCAATGCCTTTGCATGGGACTCCAGAGGACGACTTCCTGGTCAACTTTCAAAGGAAGCCCCTCCAGATTTGGGAAATGTGGTTTCAATTTAACTTCGCCTCTGCATTCCTCCCTCCTCATACTCCAGTTCTTTCCCAGCCTCCTCCACGTCGGCTTCCTCCTCATCCTTCTCCTCCTCTTTCCTCTGCTTCTCTTCTGGATGGTAATGCGCCTGTTTTTGTTGATAGAGTTTGCAAACATATTCCCTCCGTGGAGAAGCTGCCAGTGGAATCCTACTGGGAACGGCTAGCACAGCAAACACCCAAGGAACAACACAAACATGAAAGACATGAACGCTATAATGCAGTTTTCCTTAAATACCGAAGGTGACACCCAGTACACACAAGCAACAACTATCTGACTACTTACTCCACTGTTCCACTGCCCTGCTGCCCCCGCTCTCCCCGTTCCATCCTCATTCCCACCACCCCTACCCCGCCTTTCGCTCCTCCTCCTCCTCCTCCTCCTCCTCCTCCTCCTCCTTGCCCTGCCCCATGGTGGGGAGGGGGAGGAGCGGGAGGAGGAGGTGGAGGAGGTGGAGGAGGGGGAGGAGGTGGAGGAGGAGGAGGCGGAGGAGAAGGGAGGAGGAGGGAAAAAGGTACGGCGAGGAGGAGGAGGAGGCGGAGGAGGAGAGAGGAACGGGCAATTCATGATGGGGGTACGGTCATCAGGAGGGGGGAGGCGGGGAGAAGGAGAAGGAGGAGGAGGAGCAGGAGGAGGAGGAGGAGGACGAGAAGGAGGAGGAGGAGGGGGCGGATGAAGAGGAGGAGGCGGAGGAGGAGGAGGAGGAGGAGGAGGAGAAGGGAGGAGGAGGAGAGGAGGAGGAGGAGGAGGATGAGGAGGAGGAAGAGGAGGATAAGGATGAGTGAGGAGTGCGGACTAGGCTCTTCCTCATCGCTCCTCACTCCTCAATCCTCTCCTCCTTTTCCTCCTCCGTATTCCTTGGCCTCCTCCTCCGTGTTTCTTTGCTCCCTCCTTTTCCCCCGTCCTCCTCCTGCTTCTGCTGCTGCTGCTCCTCCTGCTCCCTCCTCCCCCCCTCCTCCTGACCGTACTCTTCCTCATGTTTCGCCCTTTCCTCCCCCTTCTCCTTCTCCTCCTCCTCCTCCTGCTGCTCCTCCTCCTCCTCCTCCTCCTCCTCCTCCTCCTCGCGTTCTCTTCTCCCTCCTGCTCCCTTATTCCCCTCTTCCTCCTCCCCCTCCTCCCACTGTCCCTGCTCCCCTGCATGGGGCTGGACAGGTCAGGGAGGATGAGGAGGAGGAGGTGGAGGAGGAGGAAGAGGAGGAGGAGGAGGAGGAGGAGGAGGAGAAGGAAGAGGAGGAGGAGGAGGAGGAGGAGGAGGAGGAGGAGGAGGAGGAGGAGGAGGAGTGAAAGGCGGGGTGGGGGTGGTGGGAGTAGGGATAGAACAGGGAGAGAGGGGGCAGTATGGCAGTAGGGCAGTGGAGCAGTGGAGTAAGTAGTGGAGTCAGTGCTTTTCGTTTTGATCGTTTTTGATGTTGTTACTTTTTATTTAGTCTTTTGGAGACATGCTGCAAACATGCCACTGTTTTTGGTTGACGATTATTCGTAGATTTTTTTTGGTGACCGCCGTTCCCATACGGAATCCAATCGTGAGTTCTCCACATAAGGAATACGTTTGTACCCCCCACACAAGGAGTATATGCCTAACCTCCGGAGGAGCAGGACGAAGGATGAGGTGGAAGACGAAGAGGAGGAGGCAAGGAAAGAGCACTATGAGGAGGAGGGGAGAATGAACAGGAGGAGAGAGAGAGGATGATGTTGACGAATGGGGGCCATCCGCCGCAATAGAGACAAACGAAGAGGAGGAGGGAGGAGAATAACGATGAGGACGAGGATGATGAGGAGGATGATGATAATGAGGAGGAGGAGGAAGAAGAGGCGAAGCAGACTTGAGGCCACATTCTTCAGGTCTGGATGGCTTCCTTTTTTCAAATTCCCCCAAGAGAGTGGTCCACGGCAGTCGCACGGCAGTGCATTCCTTGCGGTGTGGCTTACTTGGAAAATGTCCCTTAGTTGGGGTCGCGATGGGTTCATAGGCCTGAGGAGGACATTCTGTGGCGCCCTTCTTCGCCTCGGCCAGGGTCGCATCGGTGACCTGCCAATGACGCGAGGCAGGAGAGGGGCAGAGGTCGGGCTTGGAGGTAATGCCCTGTCGTCGTCTTCGTCGTCGTCGTCCTCGCTGTCGTCGTCGTTGTGGTCGTCGTCTTGTTCGTCCTCGTCATCGTCGTTGTCGCCTTCATCGTGGTGATGGTGGTGGTGGTGGTGGTGGTCGTCGTCGTCATTGTCGTCGTCGTCGGCCCCGCCCCAGCAGGCATCATGTTCATCGTCTGCGAGTCCACCTTCGAGTGGTCCAGTTTCCGCCTGATGCGCAGGATCCCGCGGGCCGACGCGGCGGTCATCGTGGCCGTCTCCCTGGTGACCGTCGTGAAGGACCTGGCGGTTGCCGTAGTCGCCGGCACGGTGCTGTCCGCGCTGGTCTTCGCCTGGAACCAGAGCACCTCAATCACGGCGAGCGTGTCCACGGCGCAGCGCGGGGCGGAAACAGGCTGCGCAGGGAGGCGACGAAGATGGGGGGGTACAAAAGTAAAGGTACGCGAGGTCACGCTGGCAAACATCGAAAAATTAGACTGGCGAAGGACCCAACCATATGCAGCTGTGAGTACCGCAATAGTGAACATCTTCTTCGGTGCGGCGCCGCCATGCCAACGCAGCCACTGGGAGCTTCGGTGGAGCTCCCTATGGAGCCACGAAGCGTGTGAGGGGTGTGCCGAAATGGGTGCGGCGCCGCCATGCGAACGCAGCCACTGTGGCCTTCGGTGGAGCTCCCTATGGGGCCACGAAGCGTGTGAGGGGTGTGCCGAAATGGGTGCGGCGCCGCCATGCCAACGCAGCCACTGGGGCCTTCGGTGGAGCTCCCTATGGGGCCACCGTGTGAGGGGTGTGCCGAAATGGGTGGGCATGCCACGAGCCACTGGGGCCTTCGGTGGAGCTCCTATGGGGCCACGAAACGTGTGAGGGTGTGCCGAAATGGGTGCGGCGCCGCCATGCGAACGCAGCCACTGGGGCCTTCGGTGGAGCTCCCTATGGGGCCACGAAGCGTGTGAGGGGTGTGCCGAAATGGGTGCGGCGCCGCCATGCCAACGCAGCCACTGGGGCCTTCGGTGGAGCTCCCTATGGGGCCACGAAGCGTGTGAGGGGTGTGCCGAAATGGGTGCGGCGCCGCCATGCCAACGCAGCCATTGGGGCCTTCGGTGGAGCTCCCTATGGGGCCACGAAACGTGTGAGGGGTGTGCCGAAATGGGCGCGGCGCCGCCATGCCAACGCAGCCACTGGGGCCTTCGGTGGAGCTCCCTATGGGGCCACGAAACGTGTGAGGGGTGTGCCTATGCGGGGCAGCACTGGGGCCTCGGTGGAGCTCCCTATGGGGCCACGAAACGTGTGAGGGGTGTGTACCGAAATGCGGCGCCGCCATGCCAGCGCAGCCACTGGGGCCTTCGGTGGAGCTCCCTATGGGGCCACGAAACGTGTGAGGGGTGTGCCGAAATTCGTGCGGCGCCGCCATGCCAACGCAGCCACTGGGAGCTTCGGTGGAGCTCCCTATGGGGCCACGAAACGTGTGAGGGGTGTGCCGAAATGGGTGCGGCGCCGCCATGTCAACGCAGCCACTGGGGCCTTCGGTGGAGCCCCCCTATGGGGCCACGAAGCGTGTGAGGGGTGTGCCGAAATGGGTGCGGCGTCGCCATGCCAACGCAGCCACTGGGGCCTTCTGTGGAGCTCCCTATGAGGCCACGAAGCGTGTGAGGGGTGTGCCGACATTCGTGCGGCGCCGCCATGCCAACGCAGCCACTGGGGCCTTCGGTGGAGCTCCCTATGGGGCCACGAAACGTGTGAGGGGTGTGCTGAAATGGGTGCGGCGCCGCCATGCCAACGCAGCCACTGGGGCCTTCGGTGGAGCTCCCTATGGGGCCACGAAACGTGTGAGGGGTGTGCCGAAATGGGTGCGGTGACGAGGGAGGGGGCAGCGGGAGGAAGGAAGGAAGGAAGGAGTGAACGCGGGGCGCTGTCTCTTCAAAACGAGGACCCAACACCACAGGATGGTTGGGAATAGTTGCTTGCCAGCATGAACCCCGAGCAGTGAGGTTCTAGCAATCTTTGCTGTACAATCTATGTTGTGCAACCTATGTAGTGCAGCCTATGTGGTGCAGTCTATGTGGTACACTCTATATGGTGCAGTATGTGCGGAGCAATCTGCGTGGTGCAACCTACGTCGTGGTGCAATTCAGCCTGCCGAGGTTTTAGTTGTTAAGTCCATTGCTCGCGCAATCATGCCACCCACCCACCCACCCGCAACTCGGTTTTCAAAATTCATGCGGCGGCGACTGTGATGATTGCTTGGCGCTGGCTGGCACGTCGCTGTGGCCGTGCTAGCCCGCGCATGCTCGCGCGTACTGTGGCCAGCTAGTCTGGCGCGACCGACGCGGCCGCGGTGGCGCTGACCGCTGGGCACTTCGCAGCGCGTCTCGCAGGCCGCGCTGACAGGCGGGCACTTAGGTGCGCGTTGGTGGCTCGGGCGGGCGCGGTATCGTTGCGACGTCGACAACGGCAGACATGATGGTGACAGTCGCGATGCTGGTGACGATGATGACAGGGACGACGGCATGGCCAATGGCGGCGCCGATGCTGATCACGCCGAACGCCGATGGCGATGATGGTGTCTACGTGTCGGTGATGAAGGTTTTGGAAGGAGTTTGACATGCGCGCGCGGCCGGTGGACCCGACCGAGTGGCCCGCGTGGCATTCGTTATTTGACAGGGATGGTGCCCCCCAGCACTCGCGCAAGGGCGTTCGAATGATTTGATGAACGTGTGGGATAATTGCCATGTCTCAGAAGTCGCAGAGCGCGCGCAGACTTGATTGACAAACCTTTGTTTCTGACATATGTTTTCGGGACGATCGATTTGAACATCCTTACGGATCCTACGACTTCGAATGATTTCGGCTTCCGCGCGCGACGACGCGCTCGCGTTGTCCTTTGTCCCTGTTTGCAAACGGTTTTTGACACCTGCATGGCAACGGGTGATTCTTGATACGTGAGTGCGCTCGCATAGTCTTATTTGAAAAGGTTGAGGGGGATGGGCGGAACCCGGCTTGGCTGGGATGATATGAACGCACACGTAAAACAACGATTGGGCAACATCATTTGTACAACACAATACGCGGGGCCGGCCTGATAATCCCGTGGGGGGATGTACATCCGAATTCTTTCCTCAAAGAGGATCGTCTATATGGTGCACTCCATGTGGCGCAATCAGTTCATTCCACTGCTCACGCAATCATCCCACCCACACACCCGCAAATTCGGCTTGCGCAACCCATGCGGCGGCGATTGCGATGAGTGCTTGGTGGGTCGTGCCCCCCCAAGCACGCGCGCAACGGCTTCCGAATGATTTTGACATGCGGCGTGTGAAGCCCGTTTGGCAGAATTCGACAAACATGTTGAACATATGGTTTACTTGAGCATTCGCAGGGGCGCGGGCGCAGGCATGTCTGGAAGCTGATTTGCCACGCCAAGTGTTTTCCGATATGGTTTTCGGGACACTAGGTTTTGATTTCCCCACGAAACTGAAGCATGTGGAAAGATGTCCGCATGCGCGCGCGACGACGCGCACGTGTGCATTTCGTCTCGGTTTCTTGCGAAGAGGATTCTTGCGACAACACGCGAGCAAGGGCGTTCGAACGTTTTTGACATGTGCTTGCGAGAAGCCAGTTTGGCAACATGTTGAAGCACCAGTGGTTACTTATGAATCTCCAGAGCGCGAGCGCATGTTTTGCCTTTTGTTTCAAGAGGGAATAATTGCGAAACCATTGGTTTCATATGTTTTCGGGGTATTTCGTCTTGAAGCCTTTACGAAACCTACGGTTTTTGACGGATTTCGACATACGCGCGCGACGGCGCGCTTTGTTTTTGCAAGTGATAGTTTTTGATCAACGAGTGTGTGCGCATCGTTTTTTTGGTAAGCCCCCGCGATACCGTTCCAGCTCGGATAATATGAATTACTATTTCGGATGGGCGCTGGAACAGAATCGTATGTAAATTGCACTGCGCGAAGGGGGGTCGTTGAGTCTGGAGGGGAGGGGGGGAGACCCGATGATTCTTTCAGAAAAGAGAACCTATGTGGTGCAGACCTTGTTGCGGCGACTAGGCGGCGACGGGGCGGCGACGGCGGCAAATAGGCGGTGGACCCGACAAACAAGCCCAGACGACGGGCGGCGACGAGGCGGCGACGGGGCGGCGACGGCGGCAACTAGGCGATGGACCCGACGAACGAGTCCAGTATCTTAGATAACGAATCAGAGTTCCAAAGTGCAGTCGCAGTTTGGGGAACTTCGCATAGACATAAACTTTCCGGGCCTCCGCGTGGGTTTCTTGGATCGGCGCTGGACCCTCCTGGCGGCGCTTCCGGCGCCGCCCCTGCCGGGCATGGGGGCTCAGTGCCGATCAACAAAAATCCGCGCGGAGCTTCGAAAACTGATGTTCATGCCGTTTTGTCCCGTCCTGCGCGCGCGGCGGCTTTAGGGGGCCACATGTGAACCCTACCCCTACCCCCCACGATTTCCGATGGGGGATAGGGGTAGGGTTCGCAGGTGGCCCCCTACGTCCTGTGCGCGCGGCGGCTTGCAGGCGGATGAGCGCCCACCGCGCCAGCGACAGCCGTAGCTCAGTGCAGCACGGTGCATGCAGCCTGTTCCTGTGCACCCTCCCTAGCGGCCTTTGAGCACGCGTGCCCCAGCTCTGGCACGAGGTCGCGCGGCGAGGGGCAGGAGGAGCAGGGAACGAGGGGGGGGTGAGGATCTGGGTTCAGCCTGAGGGCCATCTTGGGGCCACCATGGGCGGTCAGTGGTATACGGGGGGGGGGGGAGGGCGACGAGTTAATCAACGACGACGAACCAACGGCAACCGCCGCAAAGGTACACCCCCGAGCTCCACAGCGGATAAAGGGTATAGGGGGCGGTTGTATGTGTGTATGTGTGTGTGTGTGTGTGTGTGCGAGGGGGCGGCGAGCTAACGAACAATGACGAGCGAATTGCGGCCGCCCCCCGAAATACATACCCGAGCTCCACAGCAGGGCCGTGCAAGGGAGTAAGGGTGCGCCCAGCCTCCAGCCGTGATCGTCGTCTTCTTCGGGCTCCAGATGACCGAAGGTCGTGGATATTGAGGTTTTTTCCCCACCATCCTGTGGTGTTGGGCCCTGGTTTTGAAGAGACAACGCCCCTCGTTCTCCCCCTTCCTCTCCTCTTCACCTCCTACTTCGCTTCCCTGCCTCTGCCCTCCGCATGTCAATCGGTTCGGCGCAGTCCTCACGTGTTTCGTGACCCCATAGGGAGCTCCACCGAAGGCCTCAGTGGCCACGGCCGCGTGCGTGCACGACACCCAGTCCAGCGGTTCGTGGCGCCAGAGGGAGCTCCACCGAAGGCTCCAGTGGCCTCACCCGCGTGCGCCCGCGACGCCCGCTACACCGTTTTGTGGCCTCATATGGAGCTCCACCGCAGGCCCTAGTGGCCGCGGCCGCATGCGTTCGCGCCACCCAGTTCGGCGTTTCGTAACGCGCCCGCGCCTCCCAGTCCAACGTTTCGGCCCCCCAGAGGGAGCCTCACCGAGGGTCTCAGTGGGCGCGGCCGCATGCGTCCGCGCCACCCAGTACAGCGTTTCGTGGCCCCATAGGGAGCTCCACCGAAGGCCCCACTGGCCGCGGCCGCGCGCGTCCACGATACCCAGTCCAGCGTTTCGTGGCCTTGTGGGGAGCCTCACCGAAGGCCCTAGCGGGCGTGGCCGCACGCGTCCGCGCCACCCAGTACAGCGCTTCGTGGCCCCATAGGGAGCTCCGCCGAAAGCTCTAGTGGCCTCGCCCGCATGCGTCCGCCCCACCCGCTACGTCGTTCTGTGGCCCCATAAGGAGTTCCACCGAAGGCCCCAGTGGGCGCGGCCGCATGCGCCCCGCCCCTGTCCAATACAGCGCTTCGTGGCCCCAGAGCGAGCTCCACCGACGGCTCCAGTGGCCGCGGCTGCATGCGTCCGCGCCGCCCATTAACACGACACCCCTCACGTGTTTCGGGGTCCCATAGGGGGCTCCACTGAAAGCGGTACCCACAACGCGGTATTCACAACGGCATATGGGTGGGTCTGTCGCCAAGGTATTTTGCTGACGCGGGGGGTGTTTTTGGTGTCTCCAGCGGCCCCCTCCCCTTCAGTTCAACGCGACGTGCTTCCCACGCGAAGTCCACCTGGAATTCACGCGCCTCGTTTTCCCGAAGTCCGCTTGGGGGTTCCCCTCGCAGGTCTGCACGGCACGTCGGTCGAACTCTTACAGCGCCGTTGTCACTCCTCCCGAACGCGCGCGCAACATGAGAACGTCACATCTGGCATGTCCCAAAGTGATGGAGCCATATGGGGCTCGTGGAAGCCCCCTGCACCCGAACTCTTAGCTTTTAGCCGTGTCGCGCACGGCGGGACGCCGAGCAACCAGCGCAACCGCCTTAAGCTGCAGCTCTGGCGTATGAGGAGAAACTGTGGCCTCTTCACCCTGAGGCCAACGTGGCTCATCTTGGAGCGATATTGGGTCGTCTTCGAGGCATCTGTGCCTTGGGAGCGCGAACCTGTTTCATGTTGCAAGGGATTGTGGCCTCGGGGACAGGGGGTGGTGCATGCGGGTGGGTGCGGCGAAGGGGGGGGGGCTTAGAAAATCATACAAACCCGACCAGACAGACCTTGGCAGTCTTCCACGTTTCCACGTGCACAGGGCACGATGGCAGATACACACGCACACACGCACACACACATATGTATATACATATAAATTGTTTAGATTTATATGTAAGTATGCTTATGTTCTTTATATGCACACATGTACGTGTGCATATACACATATATACACAACATCGAATCACATACGTAATTCTTGAATTACCTGTACATGTGTGTATATATATATATATATGTAAACACAGAGGCCGCGGCCTCGCCCGCCCAGCCTGAGATAGACCCAGACGATGCGCCGCCATGGTGGCTCGCTCGCTCGGCCGCCCTTCCGTGGGGGGTGCGGGCTGGCGCTGTGCCTGGCAGCGGGGCGCCCGAGGCGCAGCCAGCCCACGGCGGGAGCCAGGCACGCGCACGGGTGCCTGGGGCCCTCGTGCGGCGCACGGCCTTCGCGCGGCCGGGCGGCTGCGCGAGAGGTGGACCGTGCGTCCTCTCCGCCCTGTGTATGTCTCGGTACAGTCGGGGCACTGAAGAAAGAGCCCTTTTCGTTGGGGAGGGGCTCGGTGTTCCTTGATTGTTCCACACTTTGCCCAGTGTTTTCCTGAAGTGTTTGGTGGCAAGTCGAAGGTTAACTTATGAAGAAAGGGGCTTCGTTCCTTATTTAGGGTTCCTTAGGTCAACGCCCCGGCTGTAGTGCGACGCTCATGGGATTCTTTCCCTCCTGGATCTTCAGCCTCTCTCCGGGCGTGCGTGGGGGCTCCCGGCTCCCGGTGCAGTAGTCGGCGCCCACCTTTGCCCCGCCAGGCTGGAAGACGTACATGCTCCGCGGTCCCCTGTTCTTCGGGTCAGCTCAGGCGTTCAACGACATATTCGAAGTCGCGGACGACCCGGAGGACATCGTCATCGATTTCGCTGGCTCGCGCGCGATGGACCACTCCGCCCTGGAGGCGGTGGCAGAGTAGGGGAGGATGTGCTGGAGGGGGGGCGAATGCTTTATGGTTAAACACGCGCACGCAGATACATGTATATACATATACTGACAGACATGTGTTTACATATGTGCAGGTGTATGTGTATGTATATGTGTTTGGGTAGCAGTATGAGTGTGAGTATGTGCATGTGTATGTGCAGGTGTATTTTCATTATGTGCATCTACGCATGTTTACTTTAAACGGAGAAGGTTAAAGGCGAGGTATAAATCGAGCATGTACCGCTGCCGTGCCTGGCTCAAGCCGGGCCCGGCCTAATATGTGACTGTGCCTCACTGAGGCGCACTACTTGCATCTGAGATCGGAAAACATCCTTTTCCATTGACGATGCCCATCCTACTCTTTACTCCAGATCCCATGCTTCGTCTCGCTCTCTTGCTCATGCGCTATGAGCCTAAGCCTGGGATATGGAAGCGCCTAAGGCGGACTGTATACCTAAGCTTACCAGCCTGTTTTCGACTTGGTAGCGGAGCTGGCTACACGCTCGTGTGGCTGGCTCTCGCTCTGATTCCAGTAATCCACGGCACAACTTGGTGGACTACTACCACGGTGGAATACCATGTTGCGCCGGCTCTGCGAGGAGCGGAGCCAGTCCGCGATCGAGCTAGCGGGGCAACCCGCGAACTCGAGACGCTCTCTCCTACTTCACTGCGCTACTTCACTCCCGACTTCCACCAGATGCCAATCGGCAACTCGATCGAGAACGTGGTCACCCTGCGGGGCTACCCGCAGCGGGGCCACCTGCATCCCGTGCCGGTCAGGCGCCTCACGGCTACCACGCCAGAGCCTGACAAACCACAGCCTAAACCAATCACCGAAGCCGAAATGCATATGCATTGGATCAAGATAACTATCTTCGGCATTCTATGGGTGATAATGGGATGTGCTGTGGGATACATGCGGCAGGGGATGGACGACACGCGTACTACTGGCCCTTCATGGGACCCTGCCGGTACTACGCCTTTCCGCGAATACGTTCGCGAAGTACATGCATGGTTAAACGTAACGAGCGGCAATATGACACCACCACAACAAGCTGCAGCACTACAACGAGGCCTTCAAGGTCTGGCTCGTCGTATCGCCATGCAGGTCCCCTCCCAGATCATCAATTATGGTGTAACTGTCAATGGACAGCCAACGGATGCAGTAACCTACATACTGTACTTACTGAGCACCAAATTTGAAAATCTGGAAGATGAGCGCCAGCTCAACTCTGGCACTGCCCTTATCGACTTCCGCGTCGAAAGGGGCGAGCGAATCGACTCAGTATTAGCTCGATTCGAGATGGCCCGTGACGAGGCTAACTCTGTTGGCTTTGTCATCCCCAACTTTCAGATCCTAACGCTGATTCTCTTCAGAGCGTTAGGCGTTGGCGCGTCACGAGCCCAACACCTGCTTGAGCCCTTCAATCATCAGATGCCCCGAACACAAGCAGACTATGACAGGCTGTTGACCAGGATGAGGAACTACGGACATGTTGCCGAGCGCTCTCCTGGTAACATAGCGGGTATCTTCACAGGGCACCACTCACATGCAGGTGTTTACGCCACGACTGCGGGGTCACCCGCTGGTCCTGGCGAGCCAAATCCCTGGGCTGACCCAGCCGATATGCCCAACGAGGCCACTGCCCTTCTAGGGCAGACCGGCCAGGTATCGGCAGAGGCAGCTGAGGCGAACGCCTGGTCGAACTACTCGCCAGGCGCCGCCTACACTGCAAGCCCGCCCTCGGGCACAACCCTCTGGGGCCAAGCGGAGTCATCCGCTCAATGGTCTCAGCCACCCTCACCGTTTGAATCTGGCACTGACACAGATACTTCATCTGACGATGAGCACAATGGAATAGTCTCTGCTGGTAATGACTATCCAGCGGACGACACTCACCTTTCTGAACAGCAAAGGGCGGAAGCCGCCTTTATGGCTTATCGCAAATCAAAACGCCGTTGGAGGCGCTTTATGAAGAAACCAGTCAGAAAGGTGAGACGTGCAGTACGCCGACATTTCAAACAATTTGGAAAGGGTCGTGGTAAAGGGGGTCGCAGACGCCGTATGCATGGTAGGGGTATTACTGCTTTCCTCACGTCCTTAACTGATATGGCTTTTGAAGAAGTTCTTATCGGAGGCAAAGGTCGGGGTCACAGGCGGACCTCCGGTAAGGGAAAGGGGCGGAGGGGCAACCCTAGGGACGCTTCTGGTAATACTATGAAGTGTCATACATGCGGTAGCACAGAGCATTTGCGCGATCAATGCCCGAAGGGGAAAGGAAAGGGATCCGTACACTTGGCTCAAAATTCTTTTATGGATGACATAGATTACATTGACTACGAGTTTTACGTCAATCCAGAAGCGGCTCCCGCTGCGGGCTCCTCCACGTATTACGTGATGGCCCGCTATGCTGAAGCAACTGTGGCCCTGGAAGACTACGCAGTGACCCTCTTCGACGAGTTCCACGGCTGGGACGAGGTCGATGAGATTGCGTACAATGCTTGGTTCGGTCTTCCAGCGGGGCCACCCGCCGGTGACGAGGTCTCCGAAGCCGAGACTGTCCCGGCAACAGAGGAAGAACTCACCGCCGCGCTGGCCCCACAAGTGATTGGCATGCCGTTGCTGCCAAATCCGTCGTGGGCTGGCTCGGAGATGGGAGACGCCGATGACGAAATGCGGGGCCATCCCGCGTATTCCGACTCCGAAGAATCCGAAGAAGATTATAACGACATGCTCCAAGAGCAGGTTTCAGAAGCAATCCGACTCTTGAGTGCGCCAGCACAGCAGCAGATGACGATGAACGAACTGCTGTCGCACCCAGGAGTTGCCGTCTACGTCCATACTTGGATTCGAACATGTCAGCATCTCAGATGCTTACAGCACTCCAAGCTCTAGCGGGGTCACCCGCCGAAGAGATGCTAGACACAACAGCGGGGCCACCCGCTTGGTCTATGGATGTATTCATGCAAGGTTGCGATCAAATGAACATTAACGACCTCTCGATGGAGCAGTTAAATGACATCGGATACTTCAGAAGCCCGTATCAAAACGTGTTCATGGTCCAGGACAGCTCAGAGGACTCGGAGGACATGCGGTACGCCAAGAGGGACAGGCGACCGTCGCCTCCCCGAGACTCAGAGCATGACGATCAAAGGCCAGTGACACGTGGTAGTGCGTCAGCGGGGCCAGCCCGCGGAAGGAGCCGCTCAGCTCCTAGACGCCCTACGCATGATGAATCGGGCTATCCATACAGCACTGAGCACTCCGTTGGAGTATCTGCTCAGCAGGTGCCGGATTGGTACATCAGATGGTACCCCGGCTACTCTATGGATACTCTTCGGCACTGGTATTCTAAGGAATACTGTACCAAAAGGGGCGAGACTGGCGCGATAATCCGTACCAAGGGCGGCAAGACCAAGACGCCAGAGGCCTGGGACAAAAGGGCGAAGAAGCAGGAGATCATCACTGACCGCAAAACGTACAGAAAGCAAGTATGTCAGTGTGAGCCCTTTAAAGGCCACATGCGCAGGTGTCCGATGGACCGCCCCTCCAGGAGCCCTCACCATGGAGAGACCCCGTGGAATTGGTCTCATGGAGACGACGCGGGTAACGTCCATGATCCGAACAAAGAGGTTCCTGGAGGAGGAAAGCGTATCACAGAGGCCGATCGCGTCCCTATGACCGAAGAGGTGGCCAACACCGTCAAGGAAAATTGGGCAAAGCTTCCCAATGACCACCGCCTCAAGGAATGGAACCGCCGATTCCATAAGGAAGCGGGGTCACCCGCAGAATCCAGTAAGGAAGCGGGGTCACCTGCAGAATCCAGCAAGGAAGCGGGGTCACCCGCAGAAGCAGCACCAGCCGCTGGATCTGCGGACGAGTGGATAGACGTTGTCTCTGCTGCCGGGTCCGCCGCCGGCACTGACCGCACCGAGCTAAATGAAGAGTGGGCGGCGGAAGACGGCTCAGAGAATCCATTCCCTGACGGAAGCGCCTGCTGGTACTACAGTTCTTCGGCGCAGAAGTGGTTCTGCACGAGGGTACTCTACCGCCACGAGAATGGCAAGTACAAGCTGGCCATAAAGGGTACTGCCGACATCGACCAGATGAGGCAGGTCATCCATGATCATGGCCAGCCAGAAGGCCCTCCTAGAGACCCTCCTGGTCCACGACCAGGCAAGAGCAGCAGACCACCGCCGAGACCTAAAGCCGACTCCTCGTCCTCACCGACTCCTGCGAAAAGGCAACCGTCCAAGAGCCCCGAAGGCACCCATGAGCGGGCGAAGGCCAGAGGGACTGCCAAGACGGACGATCCTAAGCCGGCAGCTCCTCCCGGTCCGTCCGTGACAGAGAGGAAGAAGGCTTTTGCTGGACCATCGACCCCGATGCCGCCGGCGACCCAAGGCGATGTCAAGGACGAAGCTCGCGACAAGCCTAAGGCAGCGTTCCGAGGTGACTGGACTCCAACACTGCATCAGCCACGCCTTGCACCACGACCAGGTTCGGCACGAATGAAAGCGCAGCCGAAGCCCGAAGCTGGGATGAGGTCGGTGCGGGCAGAAGCGGCCGCCAAGGCTAAGGAGGACAAGGGCTCTGCGGGGCCACCCGCTAAAGCGGCGCCAGCCGTAACAGCGGGGACACCCGCAGAAGGCACTCTCTCCAGAGAAGAACGCTTCAGAGTCCTCAAAGAGTTTGGCGACCAACAGAAACTGACTGATGATGCAGCTGCTGACAAAGGTCGCCAGAACCCTGGCGCGGAGTCATCTGCAGGAGCTGCCCCGTCAGCCGCAGGTTCTGCAGGGCCACCCGTTAAAGCGGCGCCAGCTGCATTAGCGGGGTCACCCGCCAAAGCGCCGCCGGCTGCACTAGCGGGGTCACCCGCAAGCTGGCAGCCAATAATGTCTGTTCTGAGGGTCATTCCTTTGGAATGCAAGTTGTATTGGCAAGGCATTGTAGACAAAGGCCCGAGGCAGCCC